ATACCATAGAAGAGGCCCGGATGTTTTGGGTTACCTTTGGAGGTCAAAAAAAGCTTTGAGGTTAGAAAAAGGTACGCAAACAAAAGAAAATCCGATGAAAAAGTTAGATCTTGTAGATATGTTTGTGCAAATGAAGGTCATAGAGTGCAAGATAAAAGAGATCATCTCACAAAGTGTCCAAGAGCTGAAACTAGAACTGATTGTCAAGTCCTCATAGGTCTCATACTAGACCAGGAGAAGGGAAATTATAAAGTAACTGATCTGATTTTGGAATACAATCACACCCTTCAATTGCCGCAAACCTCACACTTGATGGTGTCTCAAAGAAAAATTTCAGAGTTACAAGGTTTTAAAATTGAGATAGCTAATGATGCAAGAATTGGACCCAAAGCTGCACATGAGTTGGCTTTGATCCAAGTTGGTGGCTCACTTAATCTCAGTTACACTCTTTGAGATCACAAGAACTATTTAAGGGGTAAGCGCCAAAGAGAGATGGCATATGGTCAAGCAGAAAGCATGCTTATATATTTTTAGGAAAAAATTACTGAGAACCCGTCATTCCAATATGCTTTGCAAATGAACCGGGAAGAACAAATAGCAAACATTTTCTAGGCAGATGCTAAAACGCTCACTGACTATGCATATTTTGGTGATGTTGTCAGTTTTGATACTATTTTTGGAACAAACAAGGAGAGTAGGCCTTTTGGTGTATTTGTTGGGTTCAATCATATTAGGGAAATCGTGGTTTTGGTGTTGTTCTCATGTATGATGAGATATTTAAGTGGCTATTTGAGACTTTCCTGAAAGCGCATAATGACAAAGAACCTAAAACAATCTATACTGATTAAGATGCTGCAATGGAAAAAACAGTTAAGGCGGTCGTTTTGGAGTCTTGGCATGGTCTGTGCACTTTTCACAGCACATAAAATGTTGTTAAACATCTAGCTGAACATGATGATAAAGAATCGGCTACTTCTCCAAAACAAGAAGTCGAAGGCAGCAACAAAGAACCAAGTATTCTCTCATATTTTAGTGCATGTATGTATGAGTACGAAGATGAAGAAACATTTAAACAAGCATTTAACAGCATGAGGACAACGGTCAAACTTGGTTAGATAGTATATACAAGGTGAGAGAAAAATGGACTGAATGTTATATGAAGGGTGTGTTCACATTACGGATGAGAAGTACACAATTGAGTGAGAGTCTAAATAGTGACTTGAAGCAACATTTCAAATCTAATTTTGATATCATTCAATTTCTTAAGTATTTTGAAAGGGTCGTGGAATATAAAAGAACTAATGAATTGAATGCTGAATTTGAATTAAGAAAAAAATTACCTAGGCTCAAAATGAGAACACCTATGTTAATCCAAGCTAGCAAGCTATACACACCAACTATTTTTGAAGCTTTTCAGTCTAAATATGAGAGGTCCATGGCAGCATACACCACGACATTAGAAGACAAAAATGAAAATCTTATAGCAATTGGGAGTCTTGATGAAAATTTTACCCTTGAGACGGAGTACAAAGTTACTAGTGATCCTTCAGACCAAACTAGTACATGCAGCTGCGGATAGTTCAATAGAATCGAAATATTGTGTGGCCATGCTCTAAAAGTCCTTGATTCGATGAATATCAAGTCACTTCCAGCCCAATATATATTGAAGATATGGATACGGAAGCACGTAGTGGGACAGTACAAGACAACCAAGGCCGAAACATAATAGAGAATCCAAAATTAGATAATATGTTTTATTACAAAAATATGACTCGCAAATTTCTCAATTTGGCTCATCGAGCTGCCAGTCATCCAAGATGCACCTTATTAGTGAACAACACACTTGACATGCTTAGCAAGCAAGTCGAAGAAGAAATCAATGGTTTTTTCTAGTGTCGTGGATCCGGTCATTGTTCCCATAAATGTTGCTCCCCCCATTGATTTGGTGAGTACAACAAGCCTAAAGAAAAAGGAGGTGGAAACAAAAACCTCGAAGCGTAAAAGAAATTAGGTTGATAAGAAGCGCAAAGTAGCAAAGAAGGGAAGCAATAAAAAGGAAAAAGGTTCAATGGTATGTAATAACACAAAATATAATTGATTATCTTTAGTTGTGTTCAATTGAAACATGTTCGGGTTTTTTTATTTGAAGGAACAAGAAACTAAAAAAGTGCTAAAGAACAGCAGAACAATTGTCGATGATGGCGTAATGGTTCAAAATATTACTCCTAGTACTTCTTTGCCCAAGGAAGGAATGTCTGAACCATACATGGCCATCAATACCATCTTTCAACTATTCACACTAATATTTCAAAGTAATAGACTGTTTCTCCAATCACAGATGTCTGAACCATACATGTCTCTGAACCTTTTATTTCGTAGGGGGAAAATCACAGATGACGTCATTGCTGAATTCTAGTAGTATGGGTATTTGTAGTAGGAAGAATGTTTTTGCCTCCTTAAATATAGATTGTTTTGGAGTAGCTTTTGCATATGTGGTTGAAGTATAAAGTAGAGGGAATTGTAAAGTTCATATGACCAGCAACAAGGTCATATACACCTACTGGATACCAGAGAACAACAGAACAGTTTGTGCATCTCTGAATTTGCAACACTCAGCAATACATTTTATTCAATTCTAGGACAATTTATAACAAAATGACAATCTATAAAATTTGCATGATTTTTATGCTTTGGACAACCACAAGTTACACAGTTTGCAAGCTCTTGCACAAATTGCACTTTACAAGCATCTCTTTAGACTGTACTTAGAGTATTAGAGATTGAGAGAGCTCCTGGACAGTAGTTGTGCTGCAGCTAGTCAAGCTCCTGGACAGCAGTCGTGCTCCTGGACAACTCCTGGATGGGGTGGAAACGCTACAGGCCGGCAGCGTCCAGGACGACGGCGGCGTTGGGCAAGGGACGACGACGGGGAGACGCTCCACCTGGGAACGACGACGATGCGGCCTGCAACGAAGGGATGGTGACGGCGCGGCTCTGGGCGAGGGGATGGCGACGGCGCGGCTCTGGGAGAGGGGTTAGCGACGGCGCGGCTCTAGAAGAGGGGATGGCGATGGCGCGGCTCTCCACGACAGGATGGCGACGGCGCGGCGCTCGAGCAAAAGACGGCGGCGGCGATTTTTCTATCCATGGGGAGCTCTCAGTAGGGGCTGTGGGCTGCCTGTTGCTTTTTTAGGCTTAACAGGCCTTGTTATTGGGCCACCCCAATGTGCGAACGAGGCAGAGTGCTTGGGCTTAGCTGATGGCAGCGGACGGTTGCGATGGAGTGACTGCATAGAGCAGTCGCGGAGATCGACTTCATGTGATCTCGTTCCTGCTTTGCCCGGCCCGATGCAATGCTCCAGACGACAAAGCAAAATGCGATCGCGACGTCCACATCTGAATCTTCCGTGCTGTTTGTTTATGATGACGACAGAAATAATGGTTAAATGGCTCCTCTAACTTTTGTTTTCTCCAGCCTCAGGTTAGATTAGTGTGGCGAGGTATATGTCTTCATCGATCGAGACTTGCCTACCTTATTAAATTATTACTGGCGTTTAATGGAGTACAACAGTTTTATTTTATTATACATGTAGTTGTTATTATATACTCCTATAAGAAGAAGATAGGCCATGTTTAGTTTTAAAAACTTTTTTCAAAAAGTGCTACAGTAGCTATCATATCGAATCTTACGATACGTGCATGGAGCATTAAATGTAGACGAAAAAAACTAATTGCACAGTTTGGTTGGAAATCGCGAGACAAACGTTTTGAGCCTAATTAATCCATGATTTAATATTAATTGCCAAATAAAAATAAAAGTGCTACGGTAGCTAAAATCCCAAACTTCGCCCAGCTAAACAAGGCCATACTCAGAGTGCACGCGGCAGATCGGTTTAGCTTTACGTCTCTGTCCAACTAATTTATTATGGCCACAATATACGACCTTTTGTTGTCGAACATGCATGATGCCAATCGACAAGACACTCTAGTAGCTGTCGTTTCTCGGCATTTTAGTTAGGACGCATATATGCGTGTGTGGGCTTTTTGGTGTGCACACCCGCGTTATTGTTGGGTGTATCACTACTTGAAAAACAGTTTGTATCAATGGTTTTTTTTTTGTTGCTAGCATTCTAGCCGCCCCTACAGTGACGTGTTTGAGCTCCAGCATAGCAGCCGCCCCTACAAATAACACAGTAGGGGTGGCTGATAATACGAGCCGTCCCTACAAATATTGTGTCCAATTGTAGGGGCGCTACAAATTCACTGGTGAGCCACGTCGCTGGAATTCCTTCCATGGCCACTGTTCATCCACGTCGTCCAAAAATCTTCCACCACAAAAATATCTCCCATCTCTCCCCTCCTCATCGAAAAAAACTCCCATCCTCTCCCTCTCTCGCTCTCTCACGAGGCGCGGTTGCGCCCCCCACGATCCCCGCCGTAATCGCTCCCGCTCTCGCCGCCTCCGCCCCCGTCGTCCCTCCTCTCCTCTCCTCCTCTCTCGACGCGTGGCGGCGTGCGCCCCTCCTCCTCTCTGCTTTCACCCCCCCCCCTCTCTCTCTCGATGCATGGCCGGCCGATTTAACGGCGCGGGCGGGACGGCGGGCACAAGACGGGCGGCGGGCCGAGGCATCTGCAGGTGGCCGTTGCCACGGCTACCACCATGACCCGGCTTCCTCCCACCAGTCCGCGTGCGCTCCTGGGCTCGACGAAACATCGAAACCCTATGTGTTTGTGTTCGACGCCTCCGTCTGCGCGCGCGTGACCTCTTCCTCGGCAGATCGGCTTGGCGGCCAGATGTGGAGGTACCTCACCCTCTTCTTCTCTGTCTCATGGCTCGTCACCCAGATCCGTCCTCCATCTCATGGCTCCTCACCCAGATCCTCCCTCCCTCCATCTTCCCCTTTGCGCAGTGTACCAAAGGCCGCACGGCCCCACCCCTTCCGTCACAAATCCGAGGGTGGGCAGCTCACCCAGCGGGGCGCAAGTCAGCGGGCGCGGCGATGGAGCGGCGGGCGCAGCAACCCGTCGACGCGCAACAGCCAGGCAAGGACAACGGCGGCGGCGACTCTCCTCCTCCACCGCCACCGGTAAGACCCGCTCTCCTCCTGCTGCACAGAGCCCCACGAACCTTTTTTTAATGCTCCACGAACCATCTTGTACATCTTCATCCCGCGGAAAATTCATCAAAATAGCAAATCTCCAACCGAGCAACTCAAAAGCGTCGAGCTGGCGCGCTTGCTGTCTGCTTGCCGCTTGGCAGTTCTTGGAGGTGACGTGCAGGAGCTCCGGCAAGGTCCGGCGGTTCGTGGCAGGGATGACGGCCTGCTACGCGCTGCACGCCATCAACGGCAAGCTCGAACCCGGGGCCCCGCCGGTGCTGCACGTCGAGGCCGTCAGGGACGGCGAAGAGCCCGTCAGCTTCGGCCCCAGCGCGGCCCTCGCTGACTACGGCCGCGGCTGGAGGCTGCAGACCGTCACCGCGCAGGACGCGCCCGGGATCCATCACGTGCCGCACGCGGACACGGTATGCCATGGCTAGTTCTCACCTGCTCACCTGCATCTGTGTTGAATAAGCTGTCACAAATGAAAGTTCGATTTTTCTTCAAGAATCAAGAACTGGGCATTAATTTAGGAAAAGCTAAATCACTTTCGGTTGTTTTAGACGCCTCTGACACGCAAATTAGTCACCGTAGGATGTTCTGGCCCCGTTCGCTTGTCTTAAATTTGGCTTGTTCGGCTTGTTTTTTCAGCCGGAATAGTGTTTTCCTCTCGCAACAATTCAGCCGGAACAGTGTTTTTCAGCCAGTTTCAGCCAAAGTTCAGACCAGCGAACGGGGCCTCTGTTTCGGTTGATGGTGTCCATATCAATTAGAGATCGCAACACCATACCAATTTTGGCCGGTTCGCCTTTTCTCTCCATTTCATTTTGGTTGTTTTGGCCGGCTCCAAAACAAACGAATACAGACTAGATAATCCTTTTTCTTTGAGGGATCATTTTGTGTGGATTGTTAATTGCAGAAACAGGGATCATTTTGTGTGGATTGTCAATTGCAGAAACAGGGTGACAGGCAGCTATTCAAAGAAGATGCCGTTGATACGGAGGCAATAAGGGGCACTTGCATTGTAACTTGGTCGATTTTAATTCGTGTCACTGCAACTCATGATAATTCATCGTCTTTGTTATAGTACTAGTCTGTTTGGATCCGCTGCTCACTGTTAGGTCTACTTTCTAGGCATTGGGCAAGGTTTGCTTGAGTGCTTGGTAGCACTTAGAAATATGAGGTCCACGCAGCTTGGCGAGTTCAGAAAATAAACAAAGCAAGTTGTAGTGTTTTTTTTTTTTTGAGACCTACTACTGACTTAGACGTTTATATACGAGCGTACACTCACCCCTTGCCTGTTCATTTTGGGGCCCTTGTAACTGATGACTGAAGATGTAATTTCTAATCATTGATCCATTCGTATTTAGTGCTCTTGTTGTGGCAACTTCGGGGGCTGGCTATGTGCTCGGTAGTGGCAACATCGTGGACATTGCCGGACTTTGTTCCACATGTGCTGGTACAATGATGGTTGCAGCATCTGCAAATACCCTCAACCAGGTATGCATTTATTACTTTTTGACATGCTAAATCAATATACATTGTACTAACATGCATGCAAATCTTTGGTTCTTCATGATCCTGCACCAAATACTAGTTTTCTTAATGTATCCTACTTCCCACACATTACGCAATATCTGAAATTGGAGCTATTGCCTATATGGAATTATGGATAACCCTGGTTGAACTTGCTGTACTTACTTTAGCTGCCCCAAGACAACTCATTTGATCATTAACACCTACTTTCAGGTGTTCGAGATAAAAAAAATGATGCTCTAATGAAAAGGACAATGCGACGTCCCCTGCCATCTGGTCGCATTAGTCCTGCACATGCTGCCATGTGGGCTAGTGTTGGAGTTGCAGGAACAGCTTTGCTGGCCTGGAAGGTTCTTGCTTTCTCTTTGCATTCTATAGATGTATATTCTACTTTCTTTTGAAATTTACTAAGCTGTGAAGTAGATAGAAAGCTGACACTGGAACTAAACATGCAAAAAATTGGCAAGGTTTGTGCAGGCTAATGGCTTGGTAGCTGGGCTTGCAGCTTCTAATCTTGTTCTGTACGCATTTGTGTATACGCCGTTGAAGCAAATACACCCTGTTAATACATGGGTTGGGGCAGTCACTTTGTTTTAAGCACAGTGCACTTAATTACTCATTTTTTATTCTGTTTGCCCTGGTGGTGATTACCTTCTCTTTATTGTTCAACATGAAGTTCATTGGATTATCGCTGCAAACACTTGTCCTTTTTCCTGGATTGTATCACTTTGCAGAATTCCTCTTCTTAACATAAATTGGTCATAAGTTTTGAACCCTGCACCACTTTGACTAGTGCAGCAGCCGAGAATCAAGTAGATTATGCTAAACTTAGAGCCACCCTGTGCTAGGATAAAAATATGCACAGGCGTAACAACCTCATCTTTGTGAAAACTCTCGTACCTGTGAAAGTACTCCTTATTCATGTCATGTACTCATGTCTTTGTGAAAGTGCTAAGATGAATAACGTGTTAGGCAATGATACATCTTTTTCATGTCTTTCATGTATTGCTCTGCACAGCATATAAATCTGGTAAAAACATTGTTTTGGTTTTGATTTGCACAGTGCTGATGGATAGCCACAAGGAGAACGATGCAATAGCGGAGCTCAACCGTGCGATATCCTTCAAAGCCGACCTGCACTTGCTGCATCGGCGAGCTTATTTCAATGTTTGAATTATTAGTTCTTGATGAAATGAGAAGAAACTTCTGACCCTCTTTGCCAATTTATTACATGTTAGACATATCTACTTGTACTACATATACTACCTCTATTTTTTGTTTTTGTTAGCACTTGAGTGTTTGCTTGGTCTTTTGTGATATAGATATATGTTTTGTTGTCATAATATGAGTTTGTTTGTTATTATTGTGATTCTTGTACTATAAAAGATGTTTAGAAACTTTTGGCTAAACAATCTTGTTTAGGCCACAATATTATAGTCAAGTTTGTCAGGATACTTCAAATCGATTTATAAGGGCGGTATGGGAACCGCCCCTATAAATACATGATTTGTAGAGACGGTATGATAGGGACGGCTGGCCGAGCCGCCTCTACAAATTATCATCAGCCGCCCCTATAAATACTTTTTTTTTAGTAGTGAAAGAAAATCTCAATACTATTTGGACGTGTTCGAGGCGCTGCACGTGTGCCGCCGGGCTACGTGTTGTATCCCGTCGCACATACGGAAGGCATATTTGTACCTAAACTGACCGATAGTGGAAAAGGTTTTTATTGTCGGTTTCATCTGCTAGCCAACGGTGATGATGCAGTATCCGTTACGGTTAGAAGGTCATCACCTGGTGCCAGTAGAATAGTACATTTGATTATAATAAATAAATCTAACCGTATAAAGTTTGTATTATAATATAGTTCAGAATTATAATTGAATTACTGTTTAAAGATTTTAAAGTTAGAATAATAAAATATGTGTACATATTATAAAAGGATATACATAGAGTAAAACTGGTCAATGCATGAAGGATCGATGCAACTGGCTCTGGTGGCCCTGTGAAGCAGTGTCGCTAGCTCTCGTCGACGCAGGCAAATTAAACACATGGACATGGGTAGCAGACGACTATCCGGGCTTGTGATCTGATTGGCTAGCCAGCCTATGTGATAGTGTATATACTATATGTTGGTAATAATATAATATTGGTGGCTAATCATAAAGATTGATACACACCCCTCAGCTCACTACAAAATATATGGTATTATTATGCGTTCGAAATTGAGAGTGTGCTCAAACAAAATACAGTAGATCCTGCTAAAAATATATGCCCGGTTCGTTTGGCTGATAAGCTATGGCTGAAAGTATTGTTAGCTGATTTATTGTGAAAGAAAAATATTATTCGTTGGCTGAAAAAATACGACTTATAAGCTAAGCGAACAGGGTTATATTGTACAAAATAAAGGTGGTTGGATCTTTTTTTTTTTGCGAGCAAAGGTGGTTGACACTAATAGTATCATGTATTCTATAAGATAAAGGTGATACGATCTAACACCTTTATCATTCGAGAAAGTATAGAGGTGGTTGGACCACGACTTTCTTATGTAGAGGTGATTGGACCCACCACTACCACCATAGTGGTGGAACACAACAAAATAAACAAATCACTATCATGTTGACATCGACTATAAGATTAGTTAGTTATAACTAATATAAGAGTTTTCCGGTTGAACAGTTGAGGGAACGAGTAAGATATGTTTGTTAGTGTACTATTCTTTTGAGAAGGAATTGAGCCTCAATCATGCTACAATTTTGTTTCTTTTTCGTTCTCCATTTCCTAATTATTGAATCCATAGAGGACTTTGACATATTTAGAATCTTTGTGTGGTTTCCCTGTTTACAATTCTCTCTTGTACTCTCCCTTTACCACGTGATAGGTTACCGAAGCGTGAGCGGGTGCTCCGAAGTAAAGACCAAACAGTTCGACCTAAGTACAGGGAGAACTGTCGTTGTGCACATCTCTCCTTTCCCACCTTCTCAGCATGCCTTTTGATTTGTAATTTTTTTTCTTCATTCTGTTGTCACGTGTCCCCACTGAAACAAAAAACAATTGCAGCTACTCTCTCAAAAAAAAATGCAACTCTGGCTATTCTTGAATTATGCTTTGACTCGTAATAAAGTTGCAACTATCACTTTTTTAGTTACTTAAATGAATCTCACTCTCCACCAAGCCACGTGACACATCTCTGACACGTGCATGCACGGAATCTTTTCATGATTCAGAATTTCAAAAATGAAATATCTCTTAAACTGCAAGTCTGATTCACAAACCGTTTGAAGATTATTGTTGGAAAAATATGTTGAACGAAACGATATCCTTAATGGCTATGTTTTGACAAAAAAAATATTTTTTTATTAAAAAAGTAAAATAAAATTTGAAATTGTGTCCTTTATTTGGTTAATACTCCGTTACAAATTAGTGTAGTTTGTAGTTAAAAATTATTTACATTGCCTCAAAAAACACAACTACAACTTACAACGTGAGTTAATTCTTAGTTACAACTTAGTATGTTTTACGGTTACAACTTAATACTAACCGGAACTAAAGGTTCATGCCCAACGGTCGTCCATGGGGCAGGGATCTTTAGTCCCGGCTACTAGCATGCACAAGATTGACAGAGATGGAGTTCTACTCACGTCCAAGGGCAAAAAGCATGTTCGCCTCCCCATTCGGTGACCGCTAGCTGTCCAACCCTGCACTACTAGAGAACAGACTTTAGAACGATGTTCCAATTTGACATTAGCCTTGGCATTTTTTGCCCCCGGGACTAAAGGTTCCTGCCCAACGGTCGTCCGCGGGGTAGGGATCTTTAGTCCCGGCTGGTATATTATAGGTAAACTTTTAGTTCCGATTGGTAATACCAGCCGGGACTAAATCGTTTAGTCCCGGTTTGGCCCCCTAACCGGGACTAATTATCCCGGCCTATAAACCAGTTCATTTCTTACTCTCCGAGACCGAGTCATTCCATTCAAACTCACTGTCTCTAATCTTCAGCTTGCTGTTGTTCTTGCTCTCTTCCCCTCCATTGGTGTTGCTCTTTGATTTTAGAGGTAACAAACTTAATTCTCTTATGTTTTATCAGTAGCTTATCTCATTTTGCGATGTAGATGCATGTGTAACTTTATATGTTGGACTTTATTATGATTTTATGTTATTTTTAGCTCAAAATCACATGATGATTTGCATATATGTTTGGATAAACAAAAGTTAAATTAGTTCATCAAAATCTTACGTGATCTTAGAATTAAATTTTCCATGAAATGAAAAACTTAGAAAATACTTAGAAAATTATAGAAAATCCGTACTAGTTGAACTTGCGGACCGTATTCATCTCGGCGAGCATGTTCTCTGCCGAGCGGTAACGGACGTCAAGGAGGAGCTTTGATTCTACGAGGGAGAGCGGCAACGGTCGTGGAAGACCGTGTTCCCTTCCTCGTAGAATCGGAGCTCTTCCTTGGCCAAGTACGGTGCCGTCCGGTGGAGAAATGCTCGCCGAGATGATCACGTAAGCAAGGTCAACTAGTACAGATGGTTATTTATTGAAACATGTTTTTGAGCTATGTGATTTCTATGTCATTTTTAGCTCAAAATCACATGATGATTTACAATAGTAAAATCACTTGATAGTTTAGTATTTTACTATTATACATAGTACATATTTCATGGTTTAGTTAGATAAATAAATAATTTTAGTTTTGTTTAAATATATTATTTTAGAAAATGTGAAATTTATAGTAGTTTGTAAAAATAAGTATAGAAAGTAGATGACAACTGGTACCAGATCCTCGGCCTCTCGTTCGGTTGCGAAACGACTGAGGCCAGAACTCCCTCTCATTATCTACGGCAAGTGTAAGCAGAAGATTGTGATGGAGTACCGAGTCAAGAGACAGGGACCCAACAAGGGTCGTGTTTTCTACAAATGCCCGGATCGCGATGTGAGTTTCTTACGCATTTGATTATTATGGCTAATTGACCTGCTTTTCTTGAATATTTTTGACTAAATATTTTTTGGCTTTAATTTCAGTGGGAGGGCAATGGATGCGATGGTTGGTACTGGGAGGAAGATTATGCTACATACGTGCAGAATTCGGCTGCTGCTGATGAGGCAGTGAGCCAGCAGGAGAAGCTTATTGATATTCAACAGAAGAATGATTTGTCTATTTTAGTTGCGTACGATCACGAAATAATTATGTTACTAAAGTGCATTGTAGTTTTAGTTTGTTTAGTGATAGTTGGGATTGCTTACGTTGTAGCCAGGCTTAGTTAATTAATCAACCGTGTGTGTGTCATCTATGTTGTGTAATAAAATACTTAATTATGTTCAAGGTTTTCATAATTTGTCATGTAATACAGATTATGTCACGCCATTGGATGTACAATGTCGATCGCCGCTCCCAAGACTTTATTGAGGGCTTGCACTATTTCTTAGGTGTGGCCGAGGCAAATAAGCGGGATGGTTTCATGTGTTGTCCTTGTGCCCTATGTAAAAATTTAAAGGAATATTCAAGCTCAATGAGTCTTCATTCATATTTGCTTAAGTCAGGTTTCATGTCAAACTATATATGTTGGACTAAGCATGGAGAAAGCGGGGT